AAGATTAACATGGCTATGATAGTACAATTATGGAACGTAAGTGACAACTTAAAGAATGACAAATACGGAAGTGAAGAGACACAGAGAAAATTAATCGTTACAATACTAGCAAGATATATAATACAAAAAAAAATTTTAACACGGACCAAATCAGACTTGACTAAAAAGTCTGAATATAAAAGTCCGAGTCCGGTCTGAAAATCAGACCAGACTCAGACTTGACTAAAGTCTGGTTCGGTCCGGTCCGTAGGAGCACTATCATTTTTTTTTGCTAACCGTTCTAGTTCTATGATTCTGGTATTGAGTTCAATATCTCTTAATCTCGCTTTTTTAGCATTTTGTTCTAATTCCATTATTCTAGCCACAAATCCTGTTTCCTTAGCTAAGAATTCAGTCCTTGGAAATCTGTTCTAATAAATCGGTTTTGGGTTGTGTATTTGCCATTTTTATACATACAAAAGTAAACGTGATTCTGTATGCGAAATTAGCCGTTTTTATTAATATTCAAAAAAAATAAAACAAATATTCGAAGTGGTTTATTTTTCTGTATCAGAGCTTACTGTAGAACTTCTTTTTCGTTTTAAATTCCGAGATTTAGTCTCAGGAGAATGTAATAATGACGATATATTTACAATTATGACGTTTCGTAAAATTAGTAATGCTTCTATCAAATTAAAAATACTTTCACTATCACTTGGTCGTACTGGAATTTGCACTGAACGTAAGTGATAGAGTCGATGGATCTCATCCTCATCTTTAACAATAATGTTTAAATGCACTATATCCCCTGCTACTTGTATTCCAATAATTCCGAACTCATTTCTGTCTGGTTTGCAACCCTTATATACCCAATCAAGCCCATCATTCATCTCCCGCCATAATTTTGTCTTGTCTTCTTTTTTTTTGCGTTCAACGCAGACTAGGCGGGAACATTCTACGAACATGAGTTCATAAAGCTTGCCTTTGTTTTCCTCCATTAACATCATATCGGGGCGTTTTCTCTTCCCATCTCCTCTTCTATTTTCACTAGCTAAGCTCTGTCGTTCTGCACTTTTGAGAAAAATTTTAGTACCCATTTTTTAACGTTATATAAATCGGTGTTGAATCGATGATAAAACTTACGAGCTAAGGAAAGCAAAATTCTTAATAGGTAATTTCTTTAATGAAGCTTGTAAAAGAGGGGATATCACATCTGTCACATAAGTTCCCTCACTTTGTGACTCTGCAAATTGAATCTCAAATGCAGGATTCTTCTGAATATCGTTTAATGAATTTCTAAGGTAATGTTAGCTAATTCTTCATCCGTTTCTTTCCAAGTATTATCATGAAAATATTTTTGTGATATAAATTCCGCAGAATCATCATAAAAGTTTTCCACAAAGGAAGAACATATTTCCTTAATATTGGTTGGAGCTTCTACTTTCATACGTTGAAATGGTTTCATAAAATCTTCTTTTGCATCCTCTTCCAAGTTTTTTACTAATTCAGAGTCATCACTGATGACTTGACTTGCCAGCGGGATCTTCCATGAGAGACTTGATTCCGAGACACTCCTTAAACCTTGATATAACCCGCTGGCAAATTTAGATTTGCTTCTCTAAAACGGTATTAAGAAAACAAAGATATTACATAATTTAGTGAGTATAAATAATTTTATGCAGAATGCTTTTAACGGTAACAAACATGTAGAGCTTTAATGGTATAGATATGTTTGGTTTTTTTTTAAAGTTTGACACTATTGATTAAAATGGGACATACGTTTGGGTTTTTGACTTGAACCCAAATTAAGTAGAAATCCCGATTCCCAAACCCAAACTATGTAGTAATGTCATAACTCAAAAAAATGAGTTGGGCCGCAACCCTAGTCGGATGCATCATAGGCCGGCACTAGCCTAAAAAAATTAGCGCCTGAGCAATTTTATTTATTATGTACGTACGTACGTGGTTTATTAGTAAAACTATGAGCAATTTTAGGCAGAATTATCAAATCCGACCAATTCGATCTGTAATTTTGGTTGCGCGATTAATCTATTCAGAAAATGGGCCGTTTATTGTGTAACACTTCAATACGTATATCAGTAAATAATCAATTAATTTCACCAGTATCTCTTTCGACTATCATAAATATCGGGTCAATGGGTGACCTGTTAACAAGTGACCCGTCTATATATTAAACTGGTTCGTCAAAACATAAGTCGGGTAATCGGGTACACGGTTATGCAAATTTATTTTATGGAGATTTCTCATTGGAACCACTAAAACTCTAGAAAATTTTGAACGCCTAATAAAATTTCAAAGCTTTAGCAACAATGATGTAGGTGAATATGGAGATTAGGAGATTCGGAATTCACTTGTGAATTTTGGATCTTAAAACAACTTAAGTGAATTGAATATTTAAAAATTATATATTATGTATACAGTATATATACTATATATATATATATTCTTTTATTATTAATGATACGTAGAAACTATAAATAATATAAATAATGTAACGGTAATGCATTATCATGGATGACACTCACAATTAGAAAGTTTATACTGCATTTTTGTACTGGTGTAGATTCCATGATTATGGTTTCGCAACTTTATCTTGGTATACTTCAGGTCGTTAATTCAATGAGTACAAGAAGCATAAAAATTCATTCACATCATAGGTAATAACGAGAATTTCGGGTTGCATATGTCTTGTTATGATTCATTTTGAAATTCGATAAGTGACTATTCATTCTCATTTTGACTGCAATTATTTGAGTATTTGAATTGGTTTCGATTCCTAGTTAACCTAATACCGATACCTAATCTTATATTACTGGACTGGATCAATGAAGTATCGCAATAATAAGAAAATAGACGTTTTGTGAATAAAAGTTTAAAGATTTAAAAGGATATTCATAGTTTATGAAAGTTTTGAATAAAATTAATTCATTAAAATAACAGAATAATAGATCTCAATATATTTCAAAACCAATAACATGATGTACTGTACGATGTTACAACTTAAGTAGATTCATAATCTAGTATAATCTAGTCGTTTCAACAACACTATTTAATACAATAAATTTTCCGTAACTTGCATGTTAAATTCTGATCATTAAATTCTGTAATCAATAAAGAGATGAACAACATATAGCATCCCATAATAAATAATGATCTTTCTGATTTTCACTCGTAATGCAGTAATGTATCTTGGAGCACTAATTCATGATTAGCAATGTATTGCAATGAGTTGTAACGTTTATTGGTTAATAAAATGGAACAATTCCCGGAATTTGTGTGCGGGTAACACAAACAAATTAAATAGTGCATCATACTATCATAAAACGATAGGCACATGCGTTAAATCGTGGTCTATTGTTATCATATCGATATTGCACAACTCTTTGTACTTCCTATGCGTAACACTAGATATAGCATAAACTGACGTAGAAGCAATTATTTTCATACTCTGCTAATATTTCTGGCGCGAATAGAACCGTATGCCTAAATCTCTACAGCCCGTTCCACTTTCTCGTCCTCCTCAACTGTATAGTCCTTCTCCGGTTCCTATACCACCTGCTACGACGGCTTATCATTCGCCTTTAGAACCCACATACTCAACAGCATCAAGATCTTTTCAAGGACGCCAGGTTCCACCATTTATAGATATTTCAAATGCTGATAATGATCTGCTTTTCCCACAACCAAGTATAACTACTCCAATAACACCAGCTACACCTGGTCAGCCTTTTCCGAGCCCTGGCCTTTTTTCTCCAAACACTCGCCGTCCTGCAAACCTTGTAGTTGGCAGTCAGCAGTCCTTCATACAACGGAAATCTTTTGCTGAAATAGTAATTTTTACAAATGCTCAGTATAATCAATTAAAAATTTTATGCTCTGATAAGATATTATCAGCATACAACGCAGAAAATTGGGAATCTATACTCGTAAACGAAAAATTTCCGACCACGAATTCTGGGTGAGTCCTCCGTAAGTTACTGGCTGGAATGAGATTAGTTAAAATTAGGATTATTAGTAGCTATTAGGATTATTTATTATATGCGAGCGTTCTAGCGATTTCTACATCTTATTTAGTATTGGTATTGACATCTGATTATTTAAGGCAAGATGCCTACGACGTGGAGATGGCCACAGTAAGCTTGGCAATTGAGTTTGGTGAGTCAATATTATTATACTGATTAGATATATATTTATTTTACTGATCAAAATTTATACTGATAGCCACTAATAATGAAAAAACTGCCAATTTTAATACTTTACTTCTCCATTGTCTGAGCCAAATACGTCGTGTATTGGAGGCTGAATTTACTGGGTAATGTTTCGTTCTTATTAAGGGATAATATAATATATTTATATTTAACGATGAAATTGCATCTACTGAATAGAGATATTCCTGTATTGGCGTATAATTCTTTATTTCTCGTGAGAGTCTTTTCCAAACATTTTATCGGAAATATGACTCGTGAAGAAATTCATCGACAATTTGAAGGTTTGCCTTTAAGAGAAAATATGAAAAATATAAAATTTTTAATTTATTATATTTATTTAATTTATTTAAATTAACTTTTGATAATTTATTGTAGATCATTGTTTAGGTGATATAGTAGATAAACAAATAACAAACGGTTTTACTTGTGAAGAGAATAAACACACCCGGATAGAACTTGGTCCCAATAATCTTGTAATTGATTTACAAATAGTCCAGGATTCAAGGTCTAAATCTGAACTGTTATTGGATTGTTTAGTGACTGCTATATCAACATTAGATCCAATGTAAGATTAAGAAAAGTAGAGTGAAAATTCTTACTGTGTTTAATAGTCTAAGAACTTTAATTTCCTATTCCTATAAAAAAAAAGTTCGAATGCTTCCACATACGAGTTTTATCAAGAATGCCTCAACACACTCTTAGTCTTGCTTTCCACTCAAATACATCAACCATCTGCTAATCAGCTTGATAATAATTATTTTTTGAATATATTGTTGACATGTTTTAGGTATTTATTCTTGGATCGATTTTTAAATCTAAAGCTTATGCAATTTGTGTTAAATACAACTTTTAAATCACATGCTCAGTAATGATATAGATATTTTAACGAAGCGATTGATTATGAACTTTATTGAGCAAAAATCTCCTCCACCGGCTTCGACAAGTAATAAACTATATGTTGTTTTTAAAATGATTTTTCTTGCTATTGCCTATCAAATTGATGTTGTGACTTACTTTTTCATAATAACAGATGTTGTATATAATGCTTATTCATATTTATTCCCTGGGAGATCATCTGCTGCATTACCTGCAGATCCTCCTCCTATAGCAGAACGGAGTTTGCTTATATTACTCCTACTCGCATCGCAATGGAAAATGTCCGGCCAAGACAAAAATAAATTTAGAGAGGCGATTAAATCATTGAAGGATGCTCAAAGTTAGTGTCTTTAAAAATTTTTTTTCATTTAGTTTTATAATTCAACTTTTAATATCGGATATTGTAGTATCAGAGGATAGTGATATGGCAATATCATTTCGAGCTTTATATCAATTGATATGCCGGTAGGTAGTATAGGGTATTTCAGATTTCTAGTTATTATTATTGTTATTGGCTAATTATTCTATCTATTTTTCATATTAGCCAGCTATCAAATGAGGAGATATGCTTAATTTTATACCTCTTAATGGTTGAGAACGAAGATTTTAGAGTTTATGTATTATCACGATTAGATCCAGAAATTCTTGTATGTTTTTTCAACAATTAAAGGCTATTTGTTTTATTTTAAAATTCTTGCTCACATTGGATATTGTTTGATAAATAGCTACTTCAAATACTTCGTTTGCTTTATGACGGTGTTGATGGCAAAGCAAATTACTCTCAAATGTATATTCTGCTTACTATACTACTTTTATTCAGCCAAGATGAAGTATTTAATGAAAATATTCAAAAAATTGTATCCTTTATTCTAATGCAAGCAATCATTATATTAAATAATTTAAATCTATTATTTTAAGTTTATCTTTGATTCAAAGTTTAAATTTACAGCAAATAGCATATCAGCCATGGTATACAGAACGTTTATTAAAATCAATATCGTTAGGAGGGCTCACTTATCTTGTTCTCATACGTATAATACAATATAATCTTTGTTCTCATCGGGTAAGATGCACAAATTATTGGTATTATATATATACATTAATATATTAATGCTGTCAATGTTTAACTACTCAAGGATGTCTATTTTCACACAAATTGCCTAGCAATTATGGCTAATTTGGGTAGTAGTATTCAAGATATACATCCTTACGTAGCACAACGACTTGTTAAGTAAGTGTTAGAGCTAACTTTATTTATATGTATGTCATTATACTCACATATTTAACTCACTGAACTTTATCTGATAGCTTGTTTGACATTGTAGCAAAGAGATATCAAAAATTGTATAAAAAAGCACAAGAGGGCGAAGAAGAAAATGTGAGTTATGGACGGCTGTGTTGATGTTATCATTCATGTTCAAGTATAATCTTCTGAATTAAATATCTTACAACGTAGTCCGATGATATTTCCATTTATGGCGATCTTGTCTGTCTAGTATTGGAGGTTATTAATTCTGTATTGACGCGAAGGCTTAATTCAAATCCGGAATTAATATATTCCCTACTACACAAAAAAGACCTTTTTACGCGTTTTCAGGAGCACCCGAGATTTTCGGAACTAATTGCTAATATAAATAACGTATTGTAATCATTTCCTTCTATAATCCTTTATTGCGTTATGACATTGCTTAATTGAAATGTGACCATTTGTTTTTTACAGGTAACTAGTTATTTTCATGTTCGAATTTCAGAATCAAATTTGAAATCTCCGTCAGCTGAAGAAATTTCAGAATTAATAGAAACAACAGCACGAACTTGGCCACCAGGTCGTCTCAAGGTTTGCAAACTAATATATTAAATTTGATTTACTCTCAATTTTAACTTGATTGATGTTATTAGCTTCTATTGCTATTATAGGAATTCCCTGATCTCAAATTTCAATATGAAGAAGAATCAGAATCACAAGAATTCTTTTGTCCATATGTATGGGCCCTCATATATCGTCACACCTGGATTTATTGGGATGAAGAAAAAGCACGTATTTTGCATGATTATATTATGGTAAGATGATCTTTCTCTATCATTCATCGTTAAGAAGAAGACTCGATCAAGAATCTCTATTTCTAATGTAGCACGAAGAAACAACGGATTCAGATGTATTTATTGTGTAATGAGAATTGATCCATGTGTACCAAAAAAACAAGAGCATATTATTTAATAGCATAAAATTTTGTAATTTATATATAGATCAAGTGCATTCACAATGTAAAAAAAGAAATCGTATTCGATAATCATGTTATAGACTTCTGCAATGATGTAGTTATAATTTTCGAAAACGAATCATTCATTTCTTTATTCTCATCAATATTATACAATGTTAAAACCATTAAGAGTTTGCTCTACTATCGGCAGTTCAACTTGTTTTCATTATACTCTTAAAATGCCTGAAATATCATAATAATATTAATAAGTATCAACAAATAAAATTTCATTAGAATTATTAGATACTAATTTCTGGAAAGATAATGACTACAGCTGTTTTCAAATTTATAAAAAATTTGTAATGATCATTTGTCGAATCAACTAGTAATTATCGGAAAAATCTTCAGAATTTGATATTATTAAATCGTTTTTTTTTTCGTCAAGGCAAATCACCACATAAGTGCGAAGTATGCCGACCTGCGCGTTAATAATTAACCTGCTATTTTGGGCATGCCTATGTTTGTTATTTCGAGATAAGGTTTATTTCCTGAATCCAACATATCGTTCGTCGCGTTAATTCACCTACGAGCGTTATTTCGAGCTTATACAGTTAAAAGAATGGTGGTTAGTTTATTGAGTAAAAATGTTGCAATTTAGGCATAATTCAATATCTTTTATATATATATACATACATATATGCAGTTACTTTTATAGAAGATAATATATATATTACGTAGTAAATTAGAAATCAGTCTAATGTTATTACGTATAATATACAGATAAGAATTTCAAAAGGATAACGATAATACCGTTGCTAGGCGCGTAAGTGACCAATAATTGCATTATTTGTCAAAGACCTTTTAGATGCTATTTAGATGTTATTGTGACCGAATGTGTCTAACAAATTTTCTCCGAATAATATTATTTGGCAAAAATTTTTGATGGATAATTTTGTTAGTTATTGGCACCAATAACTGATTATCCATTCGCCATAACTATTATTTTAATTGTGCTTTTTATATTGGTAGATAACTGATAATGACTAGCTAAACTAGAAGTATAATTTGTATATACTTATTTATTATATTAATTAATTATAAAAATACTGTATAAAAAACAATAACATAGTATATACTGTAAATACTAATATAAGGTTAACGAAATAT